GAAATAAAACAAGAACAAGAACTAGGAAAAAATAGAAGAAAACTCAGAGGGGTTAGTATATATATGCTTGTACATGCATGTGTAGTGTGACCTACGTATAAGTAGAAGTAGCAAGACATACCTGCAACCTTGCATGTTTAAAAGACAGAGAAAAGACACCAGCAATCCTATCATAATGTAAAACAAGTACTACAGTACAATATAAACCCTGGAGTTTACCTGGAGAGAGTTCCGGGGGTCAATGCCCCCACGGCCCGGTCTGTGACCAGGCCTCCTGGTGGATCAGAGCCTGATCCACCAGGCTGTTACTGCTGGCTGCACGCAATCCAATGTAAGAGCCACAGCCCGGCTGGTCAGGTACTGACTTTAGGTGCTTGTCCAGTGCCTGCTTGAAGACAGTCAGGGGTCTATTGGTAATCCCCCTTATGTATGCTAGGAGGCAGTTGAACAGTCTCGGGCCCCTGACACTTATTGTATTGTCTCTTAACATGCTAGTGACACCCCTGCTTTTCATTGGGGGGATGTTGCATCGTCTGCCGAGTCTTGCTTTCGTTGTGAGTGATTTTCGTGTGCAAGTTCAGTACTAGTCCCCCTAGGATTTTCAAGGTGTATATAATCATGTATCTCTCCCGCACTGTGTTCCAGGGAGTACAGGCTCAGGAACTTCAAGCGCCCCCAGTAATTGAGTTGTTTTATCTCCGTTATGCGTGCTGTGAAGGTTCTCTGTACATTTTCTAGGTCAGCAATTTTACCTGCCTTGAAAGGTGCTGTTAGTGTGCAGCAATATTCCAGCCTAGATAGAACAAGCGACCTGAAGAGTGTCATCATGGGCTTGCAATCCCTAGTTTTGAAGGTTCTCATTATCCCAAGAATACTAAGAATATAACCCAAATCTTGATAAAATAGAAGATCTAAGGAAGACAGTCCTGCTAACCCAAACACTGCCCCGCTGCCAGACAATCACTTAACCCAAGCTCAGGAAAATCAAGCCTTCTCTGCCATAGCTACACAGTATCTACTTTAGTGATATTATGAAAGGATATCGCAGAAGAAACAACAGCAGTAAGAAAAGAGTAACACAAAGGACCCTAGAACTCAACTTGTCTACCCAGCAGTAAGCCGGTGTATCATCAACCCCCCCTCACCACCACCACCCAGGGAACAACAACAACAAACATGGCTGACTCCCCCTCCAACTCCACTCCCTTCAAAGGATTCACCCATGATAACTCAGGTATGATTATTCCTGACAATATCAGGGACTACATCATCGCTCTAGAAAGCAAAATTAAAGATATTAACCCGTAAACGGTCCAAACATATATATACGTTCACTACCATACTGCCCCAACTTTTTTGAGAAAAAAAAAAATTGCTGTTTTTTAATAGGTAAAAAGAGCATATGGTACCCAGGCATCCCCAATTATTTTAATATGGCACACAGTGAGTACTCACACCCATTCTCTCATGTCTAGGTGACTCAGGCTTATCGTGGCAATGTAAAATGTATGACACATAAAACGTATATATACATTTGGGGAACTAGCGGTAAAAACGTATATATACGTTTGGACCATTTACGGGTTAAAGCAACACTTGCACGACGAGAATCCAAGATAACCAACATCGAGAACAAGATCAAAAACCTTGAAGAGAAGATTTCATCGGGAAGTGTTGACACAGACACCTTGATTTCCAAGACGACAAAACTGAACAAGATAAGTTGTCTGATGCAATTATAATAAACAGCCCTCACATTCCTAGTGACATAACCCAAGAACAGTGCAAAGAAACTGCTATCAGGATAATACAGGACCATGTAAAAGTTATCGTCCAAAACAATGAAATCAAAGAAACACGTTTGCTAGGAAAACAAGGTAGAAAACACAGTATTATGATCAGACTTCATTCATATGATAAAAGAAAGGATTTAATTAAATCAGCAATTACAATGAAAAATGGAGTGTTCATCAACAAGTGTCTAACAAGAAAATGTCAAAACCTTCTGTTCAGGTTGAGAAAACTTAAACAGGAAAACAAAATACATCAGTGTTTCACTTGAGATAGGAAAACACTAGCTAGAAAAACTTCAACAGGACAACAATACACCATCTCAAATGAACATGATTTCTCTACCTTCCTTAGAAAAGCTGAAATTTCTGTAACAGATTAGATAATGTCCTTAACACATATATACGTGTGGTGCATATAGTGTACATTACTATTACATTATTGTGCATTATTATTTTTTCTTTTACTAGCTAATACCAGCTACCTCAAATACTTTTTACTTTTTAATTGCTATTAATTGCTCATAATTTTGTGTTGCAAGTAAAATCTTACTCCAAATTAATGTTATTCATGGTTGCTACCTGTCCATTTAATTCTGTTTACCACTACTTTTTTTAGTCCCTTTTATACTATGTGTGCAATTAGTGTATATTCCAATTACATTATTGTGCAGTCCCAAAACTATGTTTTGCTAGCTAGTACCAACTACCTCATATTTTTTTTACTTTTTATAGTGCAATTAATTGCTCAACTTATTATACATTACAAATCAGATCATACTCCCAAATCAACATCATATCATAGTGACTATCTGTCCACTGAACTTTGTTTACCATTACTTAATTTAGTCTCTTATATATTTTCTCCTTTATTTTAGCTTTATATAACTACCTTAGTGCATATATTCACAATTGTTAAAATAATCAAGGTGCTATTCTCAGGTGCTAAAGTGTAATAAGTTCACTATTTTGCCATTATATTCCCAAGCTCATTTATTTGATTACCACTTTATTTGTTCATCACAACTTATATTAGTCCCTTTTATATTGTCTCCTTTATTTTAACTTTAAAGAACTACCTTAGTTCATATATTTACATTTGTTAAAATAATTCAGGTGCTATTTTATAGCTTTAGAATATTTACTTTGTCTTATACTTAATTCTAACTATAGATTCACTATAAATCTTATGATTACAAGCATTGATCCTGATACCAACCTCTTATTGAATGACTTAAATGAATCAAACAGTAACTGTAATTTCTACACAGCAGAACAATCAAAGGCACTTCTCAGAGCCAACAACAACATAACTGTCTTTAACTACAATATCAGATCTTTAAGCAAACATTACGATGACCTCATAACATTACTAAATTCCCTGCATGCCAGTATCCCCATCATTACTCTCACTGAAAACTGGCTAAAGCCTGATACTACAGATGTCTATGCCATTACTGGTTACACAGCTGTACACAACTGTAGACCAGCTCAACAAGGAGGTGGCACAACTGTATACTACTCAGACCACTGGGAACAACTTGAGAGTCACTGGACCCCTGGCGCACAAAATATCTATCCAGAGAGGTCTTTTTCTGGTGTTTCTTTAAGATTTCCCTGAAGTGGGACACAACACTGTCATTGTACATGTTGCAGATACAGTTTGTTTCAGCTTGGTCAGGGAGATACTTTTCAACAAAACTTTGCAGCTCATTCCACATTCCACACATGTCCTTAATCACTGAAGAAGGCACCTCATCCACTCCCTCTTCCTTCTCCTCTGAAGCAAGTTCCTCGGCTGTGGTCTGATGTTGTTCCAGTTGAAGCTCTTGCAGTTCGTCAGTGGTTAGCTCTTCCCTGTGGTCCTCCACCAACTCTTCCACATCCCCGTCACTCACTTTATTTACCACTTTCCTTGAGTCCATGATGACTTATTTAGCAGTTGCAAGCACAAAAAACAATGGATTATTATGAAATGTATTGTATGAACCCGCGGGGTGATGGTCACGTGTTGGTAAACAATGGCACACTGAGCGTGAATGGCGTGGGAGACTGGCTTTGTGTGCGTGGTGACGGGCGGATGGGTACCGGATGGTCGCCGAAACATGAGTTTTTTCACGAAACTCGAGGCCAAATTTTTCCAAAAAAAAAAAACTCGCCGAAGGTCGAATTTCGCGAAAGTTGAGGCTGCCGAAACTCGGGGGTCCACTGTAATTGTTGATTTGTTTTTGCCGTACATCCTCATATTTTTGTACTATCTCCTTCACTTCTATGGTGTTTCTCGCTTTCTTTACCAAAGGGCTGCCACTATGAAGCTTTTTTGGGCCCATGGTGGCTTATTTCATAGTCACAATCTTTAAACAAGCACTAAACACAATGAATTTATTGTGAAATGTTCAGATGAGTGCGCAGGGTAATGTTCACTCAAGGATACACAAAGCTAGACTGGTTCACGACACCTGTGCGGGGAGGCACGCAGGTGCTGGCAGGTGGACAGGTCTGGTATGCCAGCCGAAACATGGGGCAACAGCCAAAACTCTACAAAATTTAGCCAGAAAAAGCGGTCAAAACTCGAAGCTGCCGATACTCAGGGTGGCCGAAACTCAGGGTTCCACTGTATACTAAAAATAGACTTAGGCATTTAAAACAATATAAAAGTAAAACACACATACAATTCACTCATTACTTACCTTAAAATATTTGTAGTCTTAATGTAAGGTGAGAGGTGAGTAGTATTTATTGTAGGAAGAGGAAGAAGAGGAAAGAATGGAAGAAGTACAAAAGTTCATTGTAAAGGGGTTAGCTGGTGTATTCTCAAAAGTCTGTATTGTGGTAATAGCTTCACAAACATATGCAAAATGAACCTGTATGAACCAACTCAACAACCTCTCCTCAGCCCTGTGAATAATACTTTTAGTAACTCCATATAACATTTTATTATTATATACATTATTTTCACCAATTTCTTCAGTCTTTGTATCTGCACCTTGGTTCACGTATAGTTATTCCACAATTATTTGATAACATTTTCCAAGGAACACATCTCCAACTATATACCAGAAATCTGGGAAAATGTACTGTAATACCCTCAGTGGGAAGCAGCCAGAGTATTGAAAAAATCTATAGTGTTAAGCAAAAATTATTTGTAGAATAAAAGTGGGTCATGACTTACGATGAGGTGCAGTATATATTAACAAGAGGCTTACTTACCTATGTATGTTTCCCCATCATCAGCATGAGAATCATCAACATTGGCAGCCATCTGAGCAAGAGATTCACGTTCCTCTAACTCCTCACTTGCCTGCGAGAAAATTTGTGATGTAAGAGAAGTGTAAAGATATTATACTTAAAGAGCAAAAGCCCATATGATGATTACCCCTATTTATACAGTAAAACAATACTGTTGGTAAGTGAAAAGAAAGTACAGTATAACCCCGGTTTTCACTTTTAATCTGCTCCGGAAGGTCGGCCGAAAACCGATTTGTACGAAAACTGAAGTAAAATTTCCCATAAGAAATAATGTAAATCCAATTAATCCATTCCAGACACCCAAAAATATTAACAAAAATACATTTTATAGAGAATAACTGTAGTTTTACATGCAGAAAAAATGAGAAATAAATATAAATGACTAATAAAATGGAGAAATGAACATTTAACATCACTTTTACCATTATTGAAGACTCTTGTTGGCATATGGAAGGTGGCAAGGAGGGGAGAGGGAGGAGAGGTTATTATCTGGAAGGGGAATCCCCCTCCATAAGGACTTCAGGTATCAAAGCCCTATCTGGGGTTACTTCCCTTCTTTGTCTTTTTCTGACACTAGGACCAGCTTGAGAGTCACTGGACCCCTGTCACACAAAAAAATCTGTCCAGAAAGGCCTGTTTCTGGTGTCTCTTTAAGATTTGCCTAAATTGGGAAACAGCATTGTCACTGAACATGATGCTGACATGGCTTGCAACAGCTTTGTTAGTGTGATATTTCTCCACAAAACTTTGCATTTCATTCCACTTTCCCCACTTTTTTGGCCAAAATTCTATCCCAATTATCGGCCATTATTTCAGAGATCAGCCGTATTGGATGCATCCACCCGCTGCTCTGCCACGTTCGTGAGTCAGTCTGGCTGTGTCTCTGGGTGTGTGAGGAAGCTTCCGCACATTCATCCAAACATTTCGCTGAAATCCATTCTTTTTTGTGGTTATTGATTGAGTGCAACTGCAAAATAAGCCACCATGGGCCCAAAGAAAGTTCCTAGTGCCAACCCTTTTGTAAAGGGCTGAGAGAGAGGGGAGAATATGCCTTTTCAGTGATTCAGTGATTCTATCATATGTATGATACTAAAGCAGCAGGAGTAGATAAAGGCAATTGCACCAGCCAGCAATAAAGTGTAGCATTAACAGTGTAGCAAGTAAGTTAAGCGATTAAGTGATAGAAAAAGGACAACACAAAACTCTTCCAATGTTGTTGGAGGTATATAGGGCCACTGACAACATATGCTCCCCTGCGTATCTTCCACCACCCTAAACCTCTGCCAGCATCTCAATAACCTCTTTATTTCTTTACATTCTCCACAATAACCACTTTATTTCTTAACATTCTCTATTATGTTTTTATACAATATTTCTTATTTATAAATTACATACATTGTTTCAGTGTGACTAGTGGTGTTTCAGTGTGACTAGTAGTATGACTAGTGGTAGTGGCCACTGCCGCCGCCACCACCACCACTATATTGTTGTGTATGATTAAAAGAGTGAAGAGTGAAAATGGTAGGCATTAGGGGAGTACAGGCTGCCATAATTATATTTATCTTTCTCCTGCAATTCCGTGAAGAAGGAAATCAGTCATGGGGGCTGGAAAAGGCGAATGGGGTAATAGCACCCCGGACAGTAAAAGCCCAGCAGTTGCCATCCTACCAGAAACACAAATGTCACTATCGCCGCAAGGTATGGCAACACCGCATACCCAAACACAGTGGCATACAGCTCTTATTGTAGCGCTCTTAAGTGGTGATATCCAAATTAATCCAGGACCTCAAACTATTGTGCAGAGGCAAAACAGGCAGATAAGTGAAGGTGATAATGACGGTCTAGTAGCTAGGAATGATAACCTTAATTCCATATGTAATGCATACATAGGCCAATGTGAGACAATACAGCCATTCTTATTATCTCAAACACCACCAAACAGGTGCATACACTGCACTAAAAAACGAAAGAAAAACAGAAAAGACACCTTATGTAAAATATGTAAGGGGTGGGTGCATAATGGATGTACGTACAATTATAGTAATGGTGCCAGAATTCATTTTGTGTGTAACAAATGCACTTTGTCACAGTTACCCTTTAGCAATGATGACGTTGATTTACGTAATTTTAATACAAATGACCCATTGCCATATATTGATGATTATAATTGTTTTATGAAAACAGGCCTTCACTTTATTCATGTCAACGCAAGATCACTTTTTCCAAAATTGGCAGAGATTAGGATTCTAGCTAACAGAGCTAGGGCGGCAGTTATATCCATCTCTGAATCATGGTTGGATGATACGGTGACTGACGACGAGGTCAGAATAGAAGGTTACAATATAAAATGCTTAGATAGGAACAGAAAAGGTGGTGGGGTACGTGCCTACATTAGAAATGACTTGGCTTACAACCCAAGACCTGATTTAAATAACAATAAACTGGAGATTCTATGGTTTGAAGTGCTGCTTCCCAAGACCAAAACCATCTTAGTAGGAACTAGTTACCACCCTCCCACCCATGACCAGTTCTTAGAAGACTTTTCCAGAGTCTTGTCCAGACTTGAAAACAATTGCGAAACAGTAATACTGGGAGACTTCAATATCTGTTTTCAGCAGCAAAATAATGGGCTATGCAAAAGGTATAAGCAAATTCTAGGTTTAAATAGTTACACCCAACTAATTTTGTTGGTGTATTAACACCAACCCGGATCACACAGTTCTCAGCCACCCTAACTTACCACATACTTTGTAACCGCTCTGAGAACATTAGTCAGTCAGGCGTCATTACCACAGGCCTTAGTGATCATCTCATCATTTACTGCACCAGGAAAATCACTAGGGATAGGACAGGCCTACACAGGCCAATAAAAATGAGGTCAACTAGAAACTACAGTAAAGAAACACTGGTAAATAGGTTACACAATTGTGAGTGGACAGTGATAATAAGTTGCACGGACGTAAATGATGCCTGGGAAAAATTCAAAACAATGTTCACTACCATCCTTGATAATATTGCACCAGTTAAAGAGGTTACGATTAAATGGAGAACTGAACCCTGGATGACTACTGAGATATTAGATAATGTGAAATTCAGAGATCAGTTGCTAAAAAGATTTAAAACAAATAGACAGGTTATTGCAGCACTAAATGAATTCCAAAGGGTGAGGAACAGAGTACAGAGACTTACAAAAGGAGCAAAGGCAAAGCACTATTGCTCAAAAATTGAAGAGTACAGTGGACCCCCGACTTACGATCAGCTCCCAACTCGAACAATTATGTAAGTGTATTTTTGTAAGTGCTTTTGTAAGTGTATTTTTGGGGGTTTGAAACGGACTAATCTAATTTACAATATTCCTTATGGGAGCAAATTCGTTCGGTAACGGCACCCGAACAGCCTTCTGGAACGAATTAATATCGTAAGTTGGGGGTCCGCTGTATAAGCATAACCCCAGAAAGCTCTGGCAACAACTAAAACAACTGAGGTATAGCCATAAACCAGTAGATAGGTCTAGCATAGTACTCACTATTGATAATGAGGTATGCCACAAAACATGTAAGGTTGCAAATTGTTTTAATTTCTACTACACATCTGTCGCATCAACACTAGTAAGTAAACTACCAGCTGCATCAAATACCTTTAACACAGACTCAGATAAGTTTCAAACATACTATACCAATAAAGAGGTAACTCCAAACAGTTGTCAACTAGTAAGTGTATCTCATGACTTTGTTCAAAAAGAACTAAGCAGGTTAAACCCAACTAAGAGCACCGGCTCTGATAACATCCTGTCTAAGTTCCTAAAAGATAGTGCTTCTGAATTGTCAATCCCTATTGCTCACATAACCAATTTGTCCATCACCACTAATACTGTATGGGAGGGGTTCAAGGAGGCCAGAGTTACTCCTCTCTTCAAGAAAAATAGTAGGTATAATGTAAGCAACTATAGGCCTGTTAGTATACTCAGTATAACATCCAAAATTCTAGAGAGGGTAGCGTACTGTCAAGTAGTTAAGTACCTTAATGACAACAACATTCTCCATAGCAATCAATCAGGCTTCAGAAGATCTTACTCAACCGACACCTCCCTAATTAATCTGATGGATTACATGAGAACTGAAATGTCAGTGAGGAACTTCATAGGTATGGTAACCTTAGACCTGCAAAAGGCCTTCGATACTGTCAACCACAATATATTATGTAAGAAACTTCAAGCTATCGGTATAGGTTCTGTAGACTGGTTTAAGTCCTACCTTAGCAACAGGAGACAAACTGTCAAAATCAACAAAGCGGAATCAGAACCCCTGCCGATACCATGTGGAGTTCCCCAAGGTAGTATTCTCGGTCCCTTATTATTCCTATGCTATGTTAACGACATGCCTATCAGTGTCAAGTGCAAACTCCTACTGTATGTAGATGACAGTGCTCTGTTAGTGTCAGGTAAAGACCCACAAGATATAGCTAATGTTTTAACACTGGAACTGGAGTCCTGCAGCAAATGGTTAGTAGACAACAAACTATCATTACACCTCAGGAAAACTGAAGCCATTCTCTTTGGCACAAAACATAACTTAGAAAGGTAAATAATTTTCAAGTCCAGTGTAATGGGGAGCCCATCACTTCAGTTTCCTCAGTAAAATATCTGGGAATCTCCTTTGACCCATGCATGTCAGGAGAATTGATAGGGAACAGTGTAGTAAAGAAAGTGAATGCCAGACTGAAATTCCTCTATAGACAAGCACAGTATCTACCTACTGAGGCTCACAGGACTATATGCCATATGGATTACGCTTGCTCTTCATGGTACTCTGCCTTAACAAAAAAACTGAAAGATAGACTGCAAATCACCCAGAACAAAATCGTAAGATTCATCCTGGGGCTGGGACCAAGAGAACATGTAGGCCAGGATGAATTACAGCAGTTGGATATGCTGAATGTTGAAGACAAAGTAAAACAACTGAAGCTAAATCATGTTTATAAAATTGCTCACAAACAGTGTCCAGAATATCTTGCTGCCAATTTTGTCAAGGTTGGGAACCAAAGCAATCATAA